CAATGAGGCACATGCAGGGTGTTCTAAGAAAAAACAGCCCCCCCCCCCGGAAAAGTGCCCCCTTTATTTAAAATAGCATTATTTTACCATCATCAAGATTTACATATAAAAACTCAGAACACACATGTAGGTTCACCAGTCATTTTGTATAGTATATGTAACCTGTATTTGTGTTCTACACATTGCAATCCCTGGTTTCTATCGCCACTACTATTGGTAAGTTCCTTCACAGTTAACCATTTCACATTAAACCACTCTGAATGACTTTGTTTACATCTCATGAATTGAATAATCCTGAAAATTAAAACAAAAAACACCCCTTTAACATGCTGGTGCTAGCAATTTAACCCAGATTCAATAAGCTGGGTGTTGAATAGAGATGAATGAAATTAATTATGTGGTCATTATGAGACATTTGGTTAAGCCTGTCCAATTTCCGGTGAACAAAGCCAAGGAGAGTTGGTCATTTTTAAGTTGCTCGTTTGTAGTAAAAACTTAATATTAACTAAATATTAACGCTTGAGAAACTTCTCAAAATCTGTTCAGTAACAGTAGCATAACATGTAATCCACACTTCCAAAAGTATGCACAAACCCATAAATCACAAAGACCGTCGGAAGTCATGCAGCATTCTGCAGTCAGCAGACTATGCCCATAGACAACCTTGTTTCCAAAGAAGTTAGGAATGCAATGATGTTCAAATCATTTAAACCCAATATTTAATTGAAAATAGTACAAAGACAACATGTCAAATGTTGAAACTGAGAAATTGTGTTTTTGAAAAATATGTATTTTAAAATATACATCACCTTTTGCTCTAACAACAGCATTTGGGAACTGAGGAGACCAATTGCTGTAGTTTTTAAAATAAAATGTTTTCCCGTTCTTGTTTGATATAGGATTTCAGCTGCTCAACAGTTCGGGGTCTCTTTTGTTGTATTTTTCATTTCATAATGCGCCACATGTTTTTAGTGTGTTCGACAGGTCTGGATGGTTGCTCCAAACCTGTATATATCGTTCAGCATTAATGGTGCCTTCTCAGATGTGCAAAGCACCCATGTCGTGCATTAATGCACCCCTATACCATCATGGATGCTGGCATTTGAACTGTGCACAGATAACAGGCCAGATGGTCCCTCTCATCTTTAGCCCAGAGGCTGCGGCATCCATGATTTCAAAAAAGAATTTTGATTCATCGGACCACAGGACACTTTTCCACTTCACCTCAGTCCATCTTAAATGAGCTCAGGCCCAGAGAAGGTGGCAGTGTTTATGGATCCTGTTTCTATGTGGTTTCTTTGTTGCAAGGTAGAGTTTTAACTTGGATTTGTGGATAAAGTGATGTAATGTGCTCACAGACAATGGTTTTCAGATCACGGCCAGCAAATACTAGTTTTTCGAACTTGTCCCTTACAGAGATTTCTGTGGATTCCCTGAATCTTTTAATGATACTACGTACCGTGGATCAGCCCAATCCCCAAATTATTTGCTATTTTACATTGAGAAACATTAGTCTTGAATTGTTGCCCTATATGCCTGCACAGTCTTTCACAGAGTGGTGAACCCCTCCCCACCTTTACTTCTGAAAGACTCAGCCTTTCTGGGATGCTCTTTTTTATGCACAGTTATGTTATATTATGACCTGTTGCCAATGAACCTGATTAGTTGTGAGATGTTTTTCAACTTTACCAGTCTTTGTTGCACCTGTTCCAACTTGTTTGAAACATATTGCAGGGGTCAAATGTAAAATGGGCGTGTCTTTATCAACAATAAAAATTCTCCATTTCAGCATTTGATATGTTGTCTTTGTACTATTTTACAGTTAAATATATGGTTTAAATGGTTTGCACATCATTGCTTTCTGTTTTTATTTACATTTTGCACAGCATCCCAGCATTTTTGGAAACAAGGTTGTACAAAAATGTTACAAAGTTGAGGGTTTGTCTTGAGTACTTTTTTCCCTTGAATGTCACTTTATCATCTGAATAACAAGAGCATTAAGTTGTTGAAAAACCAAAATTGCTACATCCATTGCCAATAGTAAGCTAACACTCCTGCACACTGAAGTAGTGCTGCATGAAAGTAAGTGTACACTTTCAACAATATTATATACAAACACCAGCTACTCAAACTGTAGCCGAAAGCTGCCAAAGCCTCTTAACTACCACACTAGACAAGGCTAACTGGTTTGTATGGGGTACTTTGGTCAGGTTGCCAGTCTTATGATGTCAGTTCAGTGTGCAGAAGTGTTCGCTTATATGTAGCAACATTGCTGTTTCAGCCATTTACTAGCCTTGCAATTCAAGAGACATTTGGAGGAAAAATCAACATACAGCAAAAAGTGTCAGCTTTGAAATGCTGTTCTTTGCCACAGGGTGATTTTGTTTTATTTCATAATGTGGACATGACAATGATTACAGAAGGGCGGCCCAACTTCAAAGGCCTATTTGTGCTTGTTGAACATTCTATTCCAAATCAAGGGTATTAATTGAGAGTTTGTCCCCCTTTGTTGGGTTCATCCTAAAGGTGTTGGATGGGGTAGAGGTGAGGGCCTCTACAGGTCATTGTCATGCAGTGCACAAACCTTTGACCTTATAGAGTATCTGACATTAGGTGCACTAGTGGCTAGATTTCCTATTTGTATGAACATGTTGAAAGTAGGGGCAGTGGTGGTAAAATGTTAGCTCCTGCTTAATTAGTTAGGGCTGCATTATGGACCAAACACCAAAAATGGATTATATTGCCACATACTGTGTGGCATATTAAAACACATTACAGAAAACTGAAGATTAACTTGAATTATTTTGATTATTCAGGAGTACAAGTTAGACAGTTCAGTTCATTTTTTTCTGTCGAGACTTCAGTATCAAAACATTTTGAAATGTAGTTGCCTTGTTGGATGAGTATCCTCCTGTTCACCATCAGAAGTAAATATTTAGAATAAAACCGCTTTCAGTACAGAGGAATTGAAGCTGGGTGTGGCCGCTGTGGTCTTCCTCATAGTTTCAAGCGCGTTCACGAGTCTGGTCCACTGCGCGTGCACGGTACTGCTATGACTGTAGTGATGGGAAGATCCGATTCTTTTAGCGAACCGATTCCTTCGAAGTGTCCGTATCAATGAATCTAACGTCTGATTCAACGGATTCTTTTTTTTCCTTCACAATTATGGTATAAGACGGCTCCGTATTCAAGCCCTCTTGTCCTCAAAGGGTCTGTGAAGATTTTCAGTCACCCAGGTTACTGATTTGTCCAATAAGACCTCATTTAACAAGAGAAGGCGTTTTCCCTCTTATCAGAGGGGCTTCATAAATCAAAAAGCCAGTTAATAATTATAATAATAACAACAATAATAATATGTTTGAATTAATTATTAAAGTTAATTTTATCTCCATGCATCAGTTCTTAGTTAAATTTATTTTTGTCTTCTTAATGTTCAATTCACAATTCAAATTGTGAAAAAAATCCTAATCCATTAGAGTTCTTATGAAATATAACCACAAAATTCTATAATATAAACATCTTTTATAAACCAAATTATAAATGCATATAAAATATATATTATGTGAAGTTTTCAGCAGGTGACATTGACAATGATGTAGAAAGTACTGACCAGCTGCCTCACTGTCTAGTATAGGAACTATACCATCTCAGACTGCAGAACCTTAAGACACAATGTGAGGACAGCTGAGAAGATCATTGAGCCGCCCTTTTCAACACCTGCTTTTAAATACCCTCGTCTGCTTGACCTTGTCATTTCTCTTCGGGGGAATCCTCAGTGCCATCTTAAGGGCTGTTCCATTACATTATTAGCTCAAGTGAAGGATGTTAGATGAGCCCTCAGAGGGCCGAGGGATCGAGTGAACACAGGTGTCGATTTTAGCAGCAGAACTTGCCCAGAAGCTGTTTACAAGCTACAGCAGAGAGGCACTTTAACATTTTATAACCATAATTCAATTTGCTGGGCTTTAGTTTGCAAACTGCTTCATGTTTTATACATGACTGCTGAAGCAACTTCATCACTTTCATCTGCTAACTGGCTAGTTAGCACACTAAAGTCTACACAGCTAACAAAAAGAAATACACCACAGCATGGTTCTTCTCCAAATTTATAACCGGACAAAGCAGTTATTCACAAATGTTATATACGTTATGCTCAAACTTCTTAAGCAATTATTCATAAATGCTGTGTTCGTTATGCTCAAACTTTTTTGCATTGCAAAGTTTGTATGGCTAGCCAATTAGCTCACTGAGGCTAACCTGTCGAGGGCGAGTGTGTTCTGTTAGAATAATCTTCTCATTGTCTCCTCTTCCCCTTTTACTGTGAGTGGCCACTTATGTAACAACAGTGTGACGCACATCCGAGTGACCTGAGATGGGTGAGGGCAAGTTAAAAAAAGAAATTGGGCTGGGGTCTCTCTCCCCACCATACCCGCTACAAGTCTTGCATCCGCAAGGCCTCCAACATTGTGGACGACACCTCCCACCCCTCTCATGGACTCTTCACCCTCCTGCTATCTGGCAAAAGGTACCGGAGTGTCTGTTCCACCACCAACAGGTTCTGCAACACTTTCTTCCCAAAGGTGATCAGATTACTCTTCACACTGATGCCCACCAACATCAACCTGGTTTTGTTTTCCTGTCAAGTTAGTGTCCTGTGTATTTATTGTTCTTTGTATTTATTGTCTAGTAGTCATTGTATATCCTGCACTCATTTCACACTGCTGTGTATTTGCATTTCTTGTGTAACGTGCTGCTGTTGTGTGTCAATTGCACCATAAGGCCTGGAGAATTTCTTCCAGTGCATACAAGTTATATTGAGCTATGACACTAAATACTACTTAACTTGGTAAAGTCAAGTCGACATATTGCAAAGTTCAGCCTTTATTATTTCAATTAAGGTGAAAATAAAATTAAGTTACATTCAGATGGATTCATGAGCCGGTACCATGAAAATAACCGATTCAGGCGAGCCGATTCATTCAAGAATCGGACACCGCTGTTTGAACTGTGACAGAAGCAGTGAGCGGCTGGAGGGAGAGCGAGAGAGGGGGAGGAAAGGACCGGCGAGACCGAAACGTCGGAACGACGGGGACAGATTCATGATTAAGGTACGAGAAATAACGATTTATGGCTGTTTTAGGGAGGGTTTGTTGTCGTTTTGCTGGGATTTTTGATTCTTGAGGCGCGGTTTGGTGCAGCATCCTGTCGGTGTGGTAGCGGGAGAGAACCACGTTAGCTGAGGCTGGTTAACGGGAACAGAATGAGTCTTTAGCTCGGTATCAGGGGTTAGATCGGCTTTTATAAAGGGATATACTCCGGGCCAGCTAACCTAAATCATTATGGATCTAAAATAATTTAGTTTACTTAACGTAAGTTGAAAAATGGTGGTTTGGTGCCGCTATGTTGGAGAATGTGGCCGCTGCTGTCTGCTGTGCTGCTAACCGAGGAGCCGCATTAACGTGTTTCATTTTAAAATTTGGAGCTCAATAATCTTTCCTCATTGTGGTGGCCCGAATGTGACAGTAATAACCCAGGCCGGCGAGTGTGTGTCGGGGCTGTTGTGGCTAATGTGTCTAGCAGGGTGAATGAAGAGAAACCCCGGAACACCCCCCACCTCTCTCTCTCTCAGCGAGCTGCTGCTGCTCAGCATGCGGAGATGGGGCGCTGTGGCCGGGCCGCTGCAGGCCCGCAGGCCGCCCGGAGCTCGCTGTGGATCATCAGCAGCGCGCTTCCACACCGCGTTAGTCAGCGGGGTGTCAGACAGCGAGAGCTGACAGGGTGGGATTTTAGCCGAGGGCTGCGGGTGGTCTTTTTACCCCAGGGTTTGAGGAACTTTTTAAAATTCCAGAGTCTCCGGAATAAGTTTTTTCTAAGTTGACGAGCCAATGAAGATTTTTTTAATTGATAGAAGTTTTTTGTTTACACCAGGTTGTTGTGTGGTTGTTGGTGTTTTAGGGCTTTTATCACAGGGGCTGTGGGAGTTGGTTACTTTTTGTATTTTATCATCATTTTTAATCTTATAGCCTGTGTAATCTTCAGGGTTGAAGGGGCTTTCATTTTACCCCAGATGTGTGGGGTACTTTTTGTTTGTATCCCACAGGTGAACTGAACTGAATTAGAAATGTTCTTTTTTTTGCCTCAGAAGTTGGACAGTGAGAGTTTCACCTTTTTTCTATTTCTTTTTAGGTTCCTTGAGGGTCAGAATTGGGCACAGTTTAGTTCTTTCCTTCTCTAACACACCTGACTGACCTCACCTGCTTTTCCCCAGAATTACTATGTGAGAGTTACTGTGAGTGTGAAACTGTACTGTCTATGTTTGCTGATTGAAAGCCTCCCATTTAAACACAACTTTGACAAGCTGAGTTATCGTAGAACAACGATGATGAGTTTACAGGAATGGAATTATCTATTTAAACCTGAAATGAATAGAGATAACGTACCTGAGGCGGCCAGCCAGTGTACAACACTTGGCCATGTTTACACGCTGTTCCTGTTTGTTTAAAATGACAGGGCTGCACAGTATCGTTGTGCGTATGGTTGCGAATGTAATGTAATGCAAGACAAATTTCAGAGCCAATAAAAAGTCCTATCGTATGTAAGTTTCTGGTTACCATTATAAGCCAGCGGGTGCCAATATTAGTTTATGGTTGCTAATGAAAGCTAATCTTCACTATTGTAAACTTTTGCTTGCTAATAGCTGATGGCTGCTAATGTAAACTGATGATTACTAATGTAAACTTATGCTTGCCAATTTAACAGTTGCTAGTGTAAGCTTGTGGTTACTAGTATTAGCTCATGGTTGTTAATGTTAGCTCACGGTTGCAGATGTAACTCTGAAGTGTGTGAGAGAAAGCAGGAGCGAAGGTCTGGAACAGCTTCAGCGCTGGAACGGCTCTGTTTACACACAGTGTAGACAGCCTGAAGAATTACCATGTGCTGATGTCATTCATATAATGTACTAATGTATATAATGCCACTGTGTGAGAGAGGGTGAGAGTGAAAGAGAGAGAGATAGATACAGTAGTCTGTAGGATCGTGGAGTCAGATGGGTGTGACTGTGTGTGTGCTTGTGAGCACTAAGCATGTGTGTAGCGTTTTATTAGAGCCTTTTTTCTTCTTATTTTGCCCCCTGACGTTCATTTCTCTGACAAAGTGTCCTTTTACTTTATTTTACAAGCAACACGTCTTTCAGTTTAAACCCCAGCCATTCCATTAGAAGTCCGATTTAATGGAGAGTTGCTGAAAGGAGTGTACTCAGTTTTGGAATATCCTTTACTCAGATAGCAGGAGACATTACCCCGCACACCCTTAGTGCTCATGGAAAGGCACTCTCCCACACAGCCATAGAGAAAAGCTTTGGGAGTGTGAATGGGAAAATATATTATGATGCTTTTTACACAATAAATATACAAGAAGTATCACAAATGTTTAGGGTTTTTCTACTTCATGTGGTTACTTTTTGTCTTATAATCTTAAACTTACACTAGCCACACATTTCATCGTAGCGTTTAAGGAAAAAGCATTCACTTTATAGGGGTGCTTTTAAACTGCATAAACAAGACCTGACCCAGTTGGGAACCAAAAAAGCTCAAGTTCACGTTCCACCTTAGTCAGCCAGAACCATTCAGTTGTTGTTCTGGTCATTTTATGCCACTCAAAAGCATCTCTTTTGGCTGATTAGCTACCTTGCATGCTAGTTAGCTTAACTTGTTGGCTGCTGCGAAACAATATTGCACTGTTTTGCATACACAAACACTCACGCACACAAAAAAATTGAAATCAACACATCGGATATGGCGTTCTGATGCTATTATTGGTGATGTAGCAGTGCGTGGTGACTGTATCTTCTCCTGGAAGAGTAAAGGATAGTCTGTAAGTTGTTTGCTAATTGTGTGTTAGCTTTAGCTGCAAGTGCTGCCAAAGTCTGAGGATCCCTCAGTGGGATTAGTAATACTTGTAGCAGCTCTACCTGCTTTTTGGGAAACAAATAAAATGTGCTTGGGTACGTTTGACATTACAGCCTCAAACACAACAAGATTTTACCACCATTACCAATGTTTTGGTTCAGTCTGGTCTCTTTGTGTTTAGTGTGCTGATTGTATGTGATTTATCCCTTTGAAGTATAGCCAACATTTATGTTTGAATGCATTTGATTATTGTTCTAGAAGTCTATTTGAGATTGCTGAACAACTTGGCATGGTTTAAGACAAGTGTGTGATGATTAAGGCATGCAGTTAGCACCATGCTAATTGGTGTTGTATAAGCTTCCTTTACTTGTTAGCTACATTAGCCTCGTGACTCCAGGTCAAAACTGAAGAAGCGAACTGTTGAGCTACGTTTTGTTTAAGTGTGAATGTGTTTATTTCATTGGCCCGTGTTTGCAGTTTGATTTGAATCCTCCCTCAGCTAAGTTGCTTTGTTCTTTTTGCGATAATGAACGCTTCAGCTGTTTTATCAGTATTTCCCTCTGGACTGCTGTATGATTAATGTGACTTACTTTAGTGACTATTTTTACTCGAGCTCTAATTAGACCAAACCAGCTTTACTGTCCTATTCTCTCTCCATTACCACTCTCTGTGTCAGAAATATTCAGGGCAAAGGGCAGAAATGTACCATAACATCCTCTCTTAGAAAAGCAGCAAGCTAGCATGAATGAAATTACGAACAAAACGGCCCATGCTTTGCGCATGACCTCATGAACACACTCATATACAGATAAAAATGGGCTACTATGCTATATGATGCTAGGTTTTACCATAAATTACAGTAAAATAGAAAGGAAATTGAATCTATACACCAATTGGCCTATTGATGTCCAACAGCTAAATTTGGTATGATGAGGAAAAATGCCACAGAAAGTTTTGATTGGTCTTAATGAAATTAAGTATAGTCATAGCTTATGTGAACATCCAACAGCATGTAACTATAAAATTTATACATATCATTTTCATACTTTTAATCTCGATCATATTTTCAATAATTTTTTAAATTAGTGCCCTCTTGTTACCAAAAGACTGAATTTAATGATAAACAATAAAATCTCATTACCATTTCGAACAGAAATATATGTAAAGTTTATTTATCACTTTTGAAAATAAATATATATAAATTGCAGGAATAATTGAGATGTCTCTTACATACATGCCCATGCGTTGTTTTCCCTGTGGGTTTTTAGGGAGTTTATTAGTTTTAGATTAATTTGTAATTAAATTTGTTTTCTGTTTGTTTCTAAATTGTTAGAATTTTGCATATAAAACGCTCATATTTGCATATAAAATATTCCTGAATTTTAGCTAATGTAATGCAGCTTTAGCTAAAATTGCACCTTAAACATTCCTGTATCCCACTTTGTCTACTTTATGTAAGGTAACTTTGGGGAAGAAGCCCCCTGAGCTAAGATGGCCTGTCCCACCTCATTTTCTCTCCTGATCAAATTGGGGCACAAGCTAATTTTTATACATTTACCGAATGGCTATGGTTTATTCCTAAAATGTATCTGCTTTAGGCTTGGTTTTTCTTTTAATAGTGTAATAAAATGACAGTGAATTAAATTGTTATTCGGTTTAATTTCTATAAGGTTTGCACTGCAAACTTCTGAATGAGAAAAATGGCAAAAATTTTGTCCCCAACAAATTTAATGCTAATGAAAAAGAGAGAGAAATAGTGATTAAAATGCTGTTTGTTTCCTTCACTTTCCTGCTCTGTGTCTAGTATCCTGAGAGGGTATAGTGCCCAAGAGCTCCACTACAGTTTAAAGTCACTGTATCCAGCTTATGACAGAAAATACAGCAAAATGGCAAAAAGGAAAGTCCATGCAAGCATAATGACACCATCTCTAGCCATTCTTTTGATAGAATTCGGAAATGAAGGGTGCCAAAGTGCAGCGAATCTCTGGAAAATAATAGAATTCATCGCCTTGGATGACCAGCTGTTCTCTATTGAGGACAATGAATTTCATGGGCGCATACTGTATACACTGTAATAAGATCATTTTAGAAAATGTATTTCATGTTAAATGTTTTTATTTGTTGTCGCCTCAGTTTTGTCCTATTAAAAAAGCTAGTTTTATTGATAAAAGTATTTTTTTTGCTCATTAACTTGTAGCTTTTCTACATTTATTACGTTGGTTCAAAAACAAATAAAAAGGCGCATTAGAAAAGCGCTTTTTGTAGTTTTGAGCGGGTCCTGAGTTTCAGTTGTGGCTGAGAATTTTTTTTATTTTGTATGGCAATTAATTGTCAGCTAAAATTTCATATGCATGACAGGCCTGTGGTCATAAGTAAGGGAGGAAAAACGACAGACATGAAATGTTAGATAATGTGAAGTGTGACAGCAGTAAACTTGGAAAATGTGAAAGTGTCGTGAGTGGAAAGTATGTGTTGGACTGTGTGCACCTGACAGCCGTCCCTCATGTGAGGAGACAGACTACTGACTCAGCGGAGAGACGTTGGGGGGGCTGGGGGTTCCCATATGTCACTTTCATACATGAATAGTCAGCAGTGCTAATGCTGTAAATGTACATGACTGTGAACTCTACACTCAGTCTGTATGTTTTGCTGTATGTATAAAATACACTATGCACAGTTTGAGTATAGAACCCAACCAGTGTATCAGTTGGTTGTTAATGTTGATACTGACAGCTCGCGTTTTTATTGGCATTTGCAAAAGCAGCGCAGATAATTAGACTTTTTGGTTATGGTATTATTAGGGTTTGATCTTTTGATCTCCTGAATGATAAGACAAACATTTAGACAGTTGTTTCACTTGAGAACCCAGTATGAGTCTTTGCCCATGTAAATGTATGACAGTAATTGTGCTTGAACTGGAGAATCTAACCACAAAACTGCATCATGTTTAAAGTCCCTGGGAACCTAATACTGATAAAAACAAGGGTGACCAATATCAGCCAACCAGTAAATCTGTCGGGCTCTAGAATTTTCCACTTTTTAGAACACACTGAAGATATCAAAACTGTGAAATAACACACACAGAATTATAGAGACCAAAAAAGTGTTTATTTTAGATTGTTTCAGAAATTAGCCCACATATGTACAAAGGCATCAACTTCAACTTGTGACCAATTATGTGGTGACCAAAAAAGTTAGACTCACCAGTAGCCCTTATTTGCCTTCATTCAGCTCTGCACATTCTCGGTTTTCTCTCAAGCAGCTTTATGAGGAGCCAGCTGAGATGTGTTTCCAACAGGACTGAAGAACACACACACATGCTGAGACAAACTACTGGTTGATAGAGCAATATTTTTTTTTTCCCAATCAGGTGGTTTTGGTT